AACTTGTTACTCAGTCTCAAATAAGTGTAGATATGTTGTTGTTAATTGTAGCCTCGTGTGTTTTGGGTATTACTTCCTGTCACGTGGACATTTCAAGTTTTAGAATTCTTGACGTAACTGATTAGTTTTACTTTAATGATTTACATTTTGCTGTGCTAATAATCCCAAAATTAAAGCTTCTTTTACGAAACTCCCCGAAGTTGGAAAAACAATAGTTCAATTGTATTTCAATATACATACTGCTAATATTTCTTCATCCTCAAATTATAATTGATTACTTTTATCATTGAACATTCACAATGATTTACATAATTATGATTACCATGTTGGATTATGAGAATGAAATATGTTTTGATGGTCTTACTTTGAATAAAAAAGAAAAAGCCCATTAACATACAGTGCAGGCTTATGACAACAAACTAATTTGGTTTTATTCTTAGTATTTATTGGTATTTCCAATTATTGCCTAACGTTTTATTTTGAATTCGTTTTAATACAAATATAAATTTACAAACGGCCAAGGGAGATACAATATTGATAAGGAAAATTTCTGCCATTGAGGATTTTATAGGAGGGAAAAACATTTACAAAATATTCAATTTGTAAAGCAATTAAGTTAGGATTGTATCTGTCTTACATTTTAATCCCAGCAATATTCAATGAACTGTGCCACCGGAACACTTTTCATTAGTTAAACTCAATCATTGCCATGCTATAATATAACATAAATATAATTCCCACTCCACAACATACAATGCTTTGCGGATGGGTTTACTATAATATTATAATAATTATTATTATACTATACTATTATATAATATTATAATTAATAAGTAATAACTCGACTTGTGCAATCAGCATGATCGAACTAAATCATCAAGTTTATGTTTCGAATTCCAACCTCATTGGCGATGGTTCTGACTGTTTTTCCTTTTTTAAAGTATTTTGGCCTACTGAGATGTCTCCAATACAAGGCTGCGGCGAGACAAGTGGCACCACAGCAATACCGGCTCACCGAAACAGCTTTTGCACTTATTCATAATGGAACTTCTCCGCAATGATATGTTTACACGTGTGTAATGATTGTTATTACCGTGTCAGTATGCCGGCCTGTGCGACGTTGCCGCGTACCAACGGTAAGGTTAAGGTGTGAAGTTAGGCTATGTGTAAAGCCATAAGATTTTCTGTTGGCTTTGCAGTCTCTTAAGTGACGAATGTGTCTGTTGCAGAGAATGGTCTTCCAAGGAGGCTACGGACGGCTTACACCAACACCCAACTTCTGGAGCTGGAGAAGGAGTTCCACTTCAACAAGTACCTCTGTAGACCTCGCAGGATAGAGATTGCCGCCTCTCTAGACCTCACTGAGAGACAGGTGAGATCGATAATCAGAACTGATAAACATATCGTGGTAAACCCACAGGGTAGAAATGTTCGGGGTTCTGTTACGAATCGGTACAAACGGCACATGCGATTCCTAGACTCGCGAGCTGACGCTAATCAACGGTATTCGCTGGGCCTAGAGTCAAGCTTTCTGGCTACAAGCTTTTTAACACTGTAAACATTGTCATAAAATAATCGTCATAAACACGATTTCCTCGTCCGACAGAAGCTTAAGAACTAAAATACCTTGAAAAACCCCTGAGGTTTCATCTTGATTGAAAGATGTTCGAATATTTGAATAGTTTGTAATGGTAAACCCCCACATTTTACAAAGTAACATTTTGTGACCCCTTCCAAGATTTTGTAGACGGATTCTCAAACCTCGTGCTTGAGAAGAAGAAATTCAGAAGTTTCATTTTTATAATTGTCCTTTTGCTTGTAAAGGTGTCGGCAAATCTATATATCATTGGAGCTCCCCAAATAACGTATACCCCTTATGTAAATGGAAAGGTTAGTATTTGAATCAATGATTCCATTAAAACTTGTACATGCTGCAGTAGACATAAGTACAATGGACTACAGTACAACGTGCAGTTTAATTGTATATCTCACTAAGAACAGGCATATGTCTTTTTATTATTTATTTATTACTTAGTTGGAAAAACTAAACAGGGTACCAGATTTTCCTGCATCAAGCGACTAAAAATTAAGTACCAGATTACTTTTGTTCGCAGTTTTCGCAAAACACAATAAAATGTGCACAAAGTAAAGCAAATATGGATTTTATAGAGATGTTGGCAGTTTGGAGGCTCGTAAACGTTTACGACATTTGAGTTGATATCCCAACAAACTGCACGACAGTCCAACGTCGTACGTCAGGTTATAACCAACTGTCTTTCTTTACTCTGCGTCCTAGATAACTAGGGGCGATTTGTAATTTCGCATAGCTAACAGTTTCTGTCGACGTTCTAATAACCTAATTAGTAATCTTACATGACCTGATATCCCGTCATTGAACGTCGTAAATCGATAATCTGGCGAATCCAACAACACTAAAAATTATATGGAATCTACTACGCCTATAGCAAGCTTATAGTTTTATGAGCTTTTAGACGCTATCGTACCCTTTCTTAATTCATGCTAATGTTCTATTACGTACAGAAATAAATCTGTGAGAAATAAAGCATGTCTGAGAGGATAGATATATTTATTTTTAATTTGGTAAAATAAAAGGATGACACTTCGTTTCACCCTTTAAGGTGAAGCCCATTAAGATATTATTCCTCATATCACTAGAAAATAGACTTTGCAGTTATTAATCTGCTAATTTATTTATATATAAACGCAGCTTTTATTTTTGAATTATATTTTTTTAAGAAATTAAACCTGGTAAAAACGGCAAAGGTATGCGACGAAACATTCGGTTAATGTATGTCGACAGCCGACAAAACGTGTGAAAAACAAACAAACAAACAGAGAAATAAACAAACCGACGCGGATGAGGAATCGTGGGCGTTGCGTGCGGAAGAACATAATTAAGTCATCCACAATGTCTTTGTCTGTGGCCGTTGATTCTATCGGATCCTCTTGTGCTACAAAACCCGTTGTTAATATTAATGACACAATAATTTGTATATGTAATGCTATCCTTATCTTTTGAAATTACATATTTGTACGTCCCGCGACAGAGATAAATACGCTGATGTTTGTGTAATATGATGCTTTGCTTTCCCAAGCATGATACGAAAAAGAAGGTTGTAGTTGTGAAGGCGAAGATTGTTTTATGATATATTGGGGATAGTCCATGTATATGAACTAAATGTTTTTAGAAACATGGCTTCTGTATTGTGGTTTGCTTACGTGTCATGTGAGTATTTAAATCAGTGGTAACTCACCATACCAGCTATTATCCTGTTCATTGCGTGTAAATGTTGGCATTTTATAACATACAGTTGATTCAGTATGATATATGTTTGAATTGGCCTTGTAGTCTTAAAATTTTGCTGCCTTTCCTAACACTCTTCGTAAACCCATTCTGAGTAGAGTTGAAACAAGAGTACTATGTGGAACGATCTTGGGTACGTCGTCTCCCATATTTGCACAGTCGTTAGTTGCACGATCGTTAGTGCACGGTCTTTTAGGACCGTTAGTTTCACAATTTACCTAAAAGAAACAATAAATTGATACTGTACACTGTTATGACATACTTATCCTCTTCTATTCTACAGGTGAAGGTGTGGTTCCAAAACCGGCGGATGAAGCATAAGAGGCAGACGCTGAGTAAACAGGCGGAAGATGGCGACGATAAAGACGGCAGTTCCGGTAAGAGCGGAAAATCAGAAAAGTCTTTGCTGCTAGATGATAAGAAAAAGAGCTGTCAGAACTGTGAGCTTCCCCCCGGTGTGCTTGGCGATCATATGCCGAGGAACAACAACAACAACAGCACAACCTTCAACAACAACAGTAACGCCAGTAGCGGCGGCAGCAGTGTCACCAGCACCCCGAGCTCCTTCGAGAAACTAGAAGACGACTCAAGGTCCAACGAGGGCAGTGGAGTGTTGACCTCTCCCGGAGGACTCATTGGTGGGGTGAAAAGGCATCCTTCGGAAGTAGTAGTTAAAGTTGAAGGTGGTTCCCTATGTGCGTCCCCAGGTGTTGCGAAGAAGCCTATAATATCTGTGAAGGACAATCTCCTAGCAAATCGACTGATAATGTCCCCAGACTCGATGAACAAACCTCCTGGAGTTTTGACGCCTTCATCGACGCCAGGTACTCCCTCGGGTCCGAGTCCTATGGACCCGTCGGTTCCTGTAGGCCCTTACCCTCAGTCCCGACCGAGGAGCTCACCGACAGCGGCAACCGCCGTGGCGACAGCGACGGCGTCCGTGACGACAGTCCTCCAGCATCCCAACCAGAACATGATAACTCCTTCGCTGGTTCAAATAGTGCGGTGTTCAGCCCCCAATAGTTTCCCTTCGCCGCCACAGCAGAGGGCGAACGCCACAGATTACCGTGGACAGCCGTACAGACATCCGACGCCATATCCCAGGGATCTGTACACACAGAGGCCATCGTACCCCGGGGACACCCCACCGTACCGGCAACAACCGCCGCGACAGAACGGAGTACAGATGATGGGTTCTCGACCTCCTTCGTCGCAGATGCACCAGAACGTACGGTACCAACAAGTACATCAGCAGTATTGTGGTAGCTACAACGGCTACGGACAAGCCGAGTACGCAAACTATCACAGGAACTATCCGAACCAGCCGTACCCAGATGATCCTTATGGGATAGCCCCGGGCAGTACCAACTACGCGGCGTACCACGGGAACGTATATCCCGCAGGACAACCACAGGCCCAAGGGGTCAACCATCCTCAAGAAGGTTACTACAACGAAGTCCATCAGAACTACGAGTTCTCCGCCAAGCCCCACGGAGGTTACTACGAGGGGATTACCCATCAAGGAGGCGAGGCCTCCAGTGTTCCTAGCCACTACGGCGTCTCCTCCCCCGAGCAGTTCCCTAACAACTCGGCCCCCGCGCCTCCGGTCATGACGCCTCCCAACAGTGTCCGAGCAGACTCCTCCGGAGACCATTTCAACTCCTTTCACCACTTCTACAGCGAGCCACAAGCCCACCATCCCAACCACCACGGGTCCGAGAACAGCAATTCCTCTTCCGACTTCAACTTCTTGAGCAACCTCGCCAACGACTTCGCTCCAGAGTACTATCAGCTCAGCTGAGACCTCCTGGTCAACTAAGATCTCCGCACCTACGACTATCTCCCTTGTACATTGTAGCTACTCTCACGTGTATAATAGTTTTATTACATGACACAGTCATTGTAGTGTTGTACGATACATTAGTTTTAACAAGTTTTTAACTCAGCTATACGTATTTTGTGATAATTTCGTGTATCAGTAAAGCTTTAGATAATTATTGTTTTTATGTTTTATAAATTGTTAACTATGGATACACTAAGTACTGATGTAATAGTTACTTTCTAATGTTATTATATTTTAAAGAGCTAACGTTTTACAAACCCACTGAATATATTGTGATGTATTCGGTAAAGGAAAATAGCGTAAAATAAAAAAATAATAAATAATTATTACGTTCATATAGTTACGGTACTGTTATAATTAAATGCTAGTGGGTAATTAATTTGACAACAACTATGACCAAATATATATAGAAAACTGTTAACAATAATTTATTACATATTGTTAAATGTAAACCTTGTTTGTAGAATTATTTGAATATAATTTCTTCAGATATTAAAATTTATTCGATGTTTTTTTTCTAAATATTACATATCATATTCAAACTGACTGATTTAAAAAACATTAATTAAAGTTTACTCGATTTCAAATAGAACCCTTTTATTAAAATTAAAAAAATTGCGAGAAAAATATTTCAAGCCCATGTTTCGGTCATATTAAGGCTGAAGAGTTGTCTGAGCTCAATATAAAACTAACTATTAGAATTGTTATATTATTGTTTCTGTTACTTTTCTTATCACTTATTTGATTTGTGATATAGTTCGGAACGTGCAATGTTAGGTTGTTGCTAAGTTGTGTATACTAAGTTGTACAGTTTGATATACATCGCATAATTTTATTTTGTATTTTGTCGTTGAAGTACTTATCTATTTCCAGAGACCAGGCAGTGCACAATGGAATTCCTCCGAATGAGCGAAGCTTGAGGGAAAAAACTATCACTCATTGAACATAAACAAGGTCTAGCATTTTGAAAACCTCACAATTCTCTCTAAAAGAAATTAGAACAATCCCAAGTGTTGGCCAGTAAATATTAGCTATCACACAGTTTGGTGTAAAGTTGTTCATCCTCAATATTGAAACATTAATACAACTGCATTACAAACAAAATTAAAAATACCTATTAGTTATATATGTTCAACGTAAAATGAAAATGTAACGAATTGTATGTGTAAATATCCTTAGCCTAAACCAATACCATAATCATTTCAAATTCCATTTGATAGATGTCACTGTGTTTAGACTAAATTTCTGAACATACTCAGAGACCGTTAAAATGGAACCTTTAAGATTAACAGTGTCACATAATCCAATCTATACAGGCTTAGAGCATAATAAACATAAATTGGTCCTTCGAACCGATATTTCCACACGTGCCACGGGATATACGGCCACGGGCATAGTTTTGCTTGTGTGTGCGTGTGTTTACGTAGCGTGACTGGATACAAACTACATGTCACCTTTGCGGACAGTAATTACAGCTGACATATCGCTGCCACTCTACGGTAATTAGAAACATGCAGGCTACATTGTACAGTGCACGGACTGCCGCCACTGTTCTACCCACCGTTGGTGTCCCCAACGCTCGGCCAAATAGCCCCGCCACAGCAAACCTGCAGACTAAGCGAATTTCCATTTACATGGCTGGATTTCTACTAAAATATTACCTTAAAATTTTAGATTTATTTCCTAAATAACATTAATTTTAATGAGTACTTAGGTTTGCTGCTACAGGAATGGTATTGAGGTGTGTATTTTGTACATTGAAACTATGAGAGCTTAGTATGAAATAAAAAAATTGCCAAATTTGATTAGAATATATGCATAAAGCAAACTACAACAGTTTATTTATTCTCCATAAAAATAACACTGGAATTTTAGATTTACAATTTGTTGAATTATATCTGTAACCGTTAGTCACAAAACAACGCTTCAAAATCATCTTTTTTAAGCTCTACAAAATGGAAATAAATCAAAGATAGGAAAAACCTATTATTACCCATAAACCCCCAAATAAATCCCCGTTCCCATAGTCTGATCCTGCTGGTTCGCGAAATCGTTCGGATGAACGTAGGTTTACACTTTTGTAACAAATTTCATCAAAATCTGATAATTTTCGCTCGAGTTATCCCGCTAACGACAAAATTTAGCTCAAAATAAAATAACCACTAAAATCCTTTGTAGCTAGGACCCGCATCAAGCTAATGTTATTTAGCACATTTAGAGCTATTTCTGGCACCATTTTATTAATTTAAACAGTAATAATGTTTTGGAAAATTGAAACTAAACTTATTAGTATTTCTATTTTCATCAGTAGGTCGATAAATTAAAATTGTATAGTTTTGGTTTCAAAACTTCGTTCAATTATTTTTTAAGTCTCGAAACCGTTAGAAGAAAGTCAATTTGTGTAGACACTTAAAACTCAGCTCCAATTATATATCGATCCGATTTCCTATGGATTAAAAATCGAATGTAACTTTCTTTGTTCATGATTTTAAAACTGTATAAATATTTAATTTAAACCTTTTATAGGCCTATATTACCATGGAACATATAAATTTCACATTTTAGAGGTATATTCATAAGAAACTAACATTAAGAACAAAATAACAACCAACATAATAAAGAATTTTTCCAGTTTTGCAGAAATTTGTAAACACATTTTTCCCTACTTTATAGGATGAAAGTCTTGAATACGTTTTCATCCGAATAATATGGTAAACACCACTAATTACTATTACTAAAAGTTAATCCCTTTAAATATATCCTTATTTATTTAATTATTATTAAATTATTTAACTTAAACAATAAATAAAAAACAAAGGTGATTTTAGCTTTGAGGACATGGAGAAAACCTGTCCGAATACACGTTACTGTTTGGTGCGATGAAAATTACACAGTTTTTATCACCAAATTTAACTACGAGGTGTACATTGGTGTGAACTCCTTTACTTGTAAGTTTGATTAATATACTTTGATAATCAGTGTTCAAATATATAAATATATGCAATATCTTATAAATTTAACAAAGCTTTAAGAAGAAGCTTGACCTTGAGTATATTGCCGTGTATTGTTGGGAATTGATACGCTGGCGCGGCCTGGTCGAATGAAGAGCAGAGTTAAGTTCCTCATGTATATAAACCCTGTTTGTATATATTGTTTACTTACTGTTTAAGTGTTATATATAATTTTGTATGTTGATCACTCTTGAGATGTATTTGTACATTATACATAGTGGCAGTATAATGTAAGTCGATACACTGGTAAATACACGTTTATGGCTTAACTAAATCTCGAGTATTCATTTAACCTTACTTTTACTAAACAGATTAGAGTTGATTGATTGAAATACAAAATATTGATTTGAAATTAATTATATTTAAATGTGGTGGATAAATTGCTTGAAACACTTAGGATTGTAAAATATATATTTAGGAATGGTAGACATTAATCGGAATCAGATAGTTTAGCTTTGCGTTCAAACATATGCATTAAACTTATGTGGCAAAAGTAATATTCAAATTGCAATGCTTTGTCTGGTGTAGTTGATAAAGTAATTGTTATTTGCCAGAACATATAAACATTAAAATCTGTCATCCCTGGCACAAAATTAAAATCTTTTATCACTACACTAAGAAGCAATATGTTTCGTAATAGCCGCAAAACTGAAATGTTGATTAAAGGTTTTTCAATTCCTGTCCATAGTTACAATTGTACAATAATGTTACATATTCCTGTGGAACTCGATTTCAAACACCTCAGTCCAAAAAATATTGGTGTTCGAAAATGGCATTTTGCCAAACATGCAACACCCTGGTTTGATACCAATGGAACTGTTGACAGGTGCGTGGACAACCAACATATTGCTGTGTATATAAAATTAAAACTAATACAGCTTAAAGGTACTTTTAATTAAGAGATTTTGGCTAGCCCCAAATCTGCATATGTGCATATGTTCGGGAGTGGTACTACATATGAATGTTATTTGTGTGATATTTGAGTCCCAGATATTAAAAAATAAATATCTGTCAAAATTTAACGAAAATGCTTATTGCAGTTACATCTGCGGTTTTAGCGACAATGTATTAAGCAAGTGGTGAAATATCAATAAAGATGAGCCATGTTGCGTTTTACCCCCACACATACGATAGGGTAGACTTAAAAAAACTGTGGCACAGCGCCCAACGAAATGTAAAAATCCCAATCACACATTTCCCCCGGAAGTGCAGACATTTAAAGTGGATTGCTTAACAGACCGGAAGTGTAGAGCGGAAGTGTCGATAAGCCTTGTCGATTTTTGGCGTCGGGAGTCGGGGATGAGACCATTTTGGGTAATCATGCCCCAAAAATTATTAATGATTGAACGGCGTTGCCTTCTAGCCTGCGTTTAATCCGTCATTAGAGAATCCCTACTTTTTGACGGAAGTTTTTTTTAGGGTCAGATGTTGGGTGGAGGGATAGAAGGCAAGGGGGTAGAATCACTAAATATCATGAAATACAGATATTTGAAAACCAATACAATTTAGGTGTCAGCCATTTTTTGTGTGGAAATTACACAAACCAAACAGTTGTCCATTAAATAGGCAAAAACTATGCTTACAATGATTTCCGTTTTGAATATCACTTGTGTACTGCGTTCACAAAATTCAATCCATAATATGAACGAAGCTACAGTCGGTGATTTCGGTTAATAAGTTGATTAAAGTTTATGTAGAATAGAATGCATTTGACTGTTTAATTTTTTACAGGGATTCAATTGATTGTAATATTTAACTAAACTATCCAATAACGTGAAAACGGTTGAAGTAAGCAATATACTGTTACTTAATATTATAGTGTCTTCAGGCCTTCATTCTTATCAAATACCAAATCCGAAATAAATTATGTGGAGTTGTTTATTTACGTAAAAATAGATAAAAAAATCCTTCTGCATATTTTAGTTTCATTTTTAACATTATTACAGGCATTTTTACAATCGCAATCA